TTCAAAAACTATATCCACGCATTCCCCTTCCCTTTCCCTCCCTCCCTCCTCCACGTTCTTCCCTCCCCCTTCTCTTCTTTTCCTCTTGTCCTACTTCCCTTCCTTTCTTTCTTTTGTTTTTCCTCCTGTTCTTCTTCCCTTTCCTTTTGGCTTTTCCCATTCCTCTTTCTCTAAGTGTGGATGTGGAATAGAAGAGTCAGCACAACGACCGACCATTCACGCAGCACAGAACCAAAACATACAAAGCACGTGCACCACAAACATGTGAAGAAATCTCGAATCAAGTCTACAATATATAAGAGCTACAACACCTAGCATTCCAGCAATAGGTGAGCTATAGCTCTCATCCTCGCCCTCTCTGCCTGATAAGGTCACTTGCCTTCACCCTTTGGTATAATCACGATGTTGTTCACGTCGCTCTCAAAACATTTGAGTCAAAATGTTGACTCACTCCTGTTCTGTTCTGTGGTGGAGACGACGCTAAAATTTGGAAGTCCACAATAAGTTGATAAAGTCACCTTATACGACACATTTATTGTTCATTACATCATTAGCGGATTGATTTATCCCACACTGTCTCTTTTTGAAAGGAAAAAACAAAAATGCATTCAATTATATTGAAAACATTGTGGCGGGGGATCTCACACCCMTCCCGGTACTGAGAGCATTGCTCAGCTTCGCTCTTAACTCATGTAACATTTTTTTATTTATCTCGTTAACAATAGTTTCGCCTAATTCATGCAACATCCTTGTTCCGCTATAACTACAATCTATATCTATAACCTATTCCTATAGTCTACCTTCCCTATCGCCAACGGCCGAACATAACTCACATTAATGATCAACATAGTTAAAGGTTGTAGGATTAAATCCTCTAGGATGCTAAATTCTTCGGGAGAGTGGCCAAGTGGTTAAAAACGACAAACAATAAATATGTTGAAGATTATATTTCTGCGTAGGTTCGAATCTTGCCTCTCCCACTTCGYGGCCTTCATACATTCATGAATTACATGTAATGTACTTGTGGGGGCGAAAGTCTAGGATGGATCTATTYTATTATTATCTGATGGTAATTCTCTATATCTACTCTTCGTTGCTAATTTCATTATGTATGATATTAATCAATATAGAATTGGACAATACAACTTTTCTTTCTCAAAGGCACCTTTCGCATTGATCTGCTTCTGATTCAATATAGTATCAATAGCTATAGCAGTCCTGCATGTTTGTCTACCTCCAATAATAAGTTCTCGTTGCCACGACCTATTGGAACAAGGCTATCCCCCGCTTGTAATCCTATTTATATTGGTTCATGCACAAATTTACGTGAAATAGTTCCCAAAGTTTCGACTTCTACACGTCTACACTATAATCATGGTTGTTGCGGTGAAATAAGCTTGGGTTAATTCACCACTAGTTTCCTAATGGCATCAGACTATATCTTCAACCAAAGAGATAGAGTGATTGTTGGGCATATAGCCTATGAGGATCCTACTCGTAATCAACGATTCGAAATATTCAGCGTCATGTCAATTGAATTACAACTTTGGTTGGTCACAGATTCAAATCCTATAAGATGCTGAATTCTTCGGGAGAGTGGTCGAGTGGTTAAGAGCGACACACTATAAATTTGTTGAAGGTTATATTTCTACGTAGGTCTGAATCTTGTCTCTCCCATTTTGCGACCTTCATACATTCATGAATTAGATTAATGTATTTGTGGGGGCGAAAGTCTAGGATGGATCTATTCTATTCTTATCTGATGGTAATTCTCTATGTCTACTCTTCGTTGCTACCAAATTCTCCTTTGGGTGCTTCTACACAGGTGTACATAGAAGTTGGTACAAACACACCCTTTGTGTAAAGATTAAAGTGATGAACTAAGCATTCCACGGATTGTTTCATTTGACAGCGTGAAGGAGGACAAAGTTTACGATCATCCACTTTGATCATGTCACTGGGTATTTGATTCAAGCATTGGACAATGATTCGAAGACTTTGTTGCATGTCTTCAATGCGAACACAATAACAATCATAACAATCTCCTCGTAACCTAGTAACAGGAAAGCACTGGCTACTTTGCCAATCGGGAAGGGGTCTAGGTATCTGCTTAGCCTAAGCAAGGTTTACACAGCCTGAAGGAATAACTCACTTAAATCCCGAAGTGGATGTGACCTGTAGAGTCCCCCTATATTCACTCAAAGACTAAGAGGCAACCATCTGCTAAGTAAGATGCGATTTGATTTGTAGTAGATGGGGAAAAAAATGGCCCGGATCTTATCTTCGTTGACGATGTGTTTCATGCAGTGGAAATAAAGGTACAAGGGACATCAGTCCAATACATTCAAAATCAAGGTGTGTTGTGTTTGGGGGAAAACGGTAGCCCTAAACCACTCGTACCTCCGAGCCTGTTTTTGCCGACCCTGAATTTCACTGCACTCCGAGTTTGTCGAGCCTGGGTACCACTCCATTTCTTTCTGGTACTCTCACGGGAAAAAAAAAAAAAAAAAAAAAAAAAAAATTACGCCCATGAAATAAAAAAAGAAGTAAAAACAAAAACAGGAAACTAAGCTTTGGCCGCGACTGCAATTGTATACATTCTTCGAAGTGGCAGTGTGAGTATGCCCTCAGTGACGGCATCTCAGCCCCATGGCCAAGTTGTCATATTCGAAAAAGAAAATAGAAGGAAAGAAAAGTGAGCATACGGATCCGGACGTGAAAATGGTTGGATACATTCCCTTAAGTGTCGGTGTGATGAGCCTCTAACAAAACACAACTTGAGCAGATCACGGATTCCACCCTGCCTCGTTGGCAGGGGACTCGTAAAAAAACGCACGACAAAAAAGAAAAAGAAAACAATAACATTCTGAACGTGACCGCCTTACCTGTGAGGTGCATTCTGTGGAGGAAGACTTTCAGCACGGCCTCCTAGACTGCCCTGCCTGACATCATTGCAGTAGACAAAACATTTTCACTCGCGGGCACTATAAAAATTTGATTTAAGGGATATTGTCGACATTGTGTCCCACCCCCGATTTCTTCGGGAACTAGCAAAACCTCGTAATTTCCCAACACTGGCGGAGGTACTAGTGGTCTAAGCAAACGATGTCAAATATGCCCAAAATCTCAATCAAAAGCTTAATCACTCCAACTTGTGACTTATGGACAGAAAACCAAAAACATAACTTTGGAGAATACTCCATGCTGATACATTTCACCCAAAACTGAATACAATTCCCATAAGAAATAAAAAACAAAATAATCCAGCAGCT